AGCAAATCTTACTGAATGCCAAATAATTACAGTGAAAAAAGAATCTCCCCACAACGTATCATAGTCAAAATCCCAGAAGTCCAACATAAGGACAGAATTTTAAAAGCTGTTAAAGAAAAGAAAAGAAAACAAACACAACAAGAAAAAAAACACTTTAAAATAAAAAAATAAAATAAAATGAAGAAAATGGGACAAAAGAAGCTGAAAAAAATCACTTTAAAGGCCAGCAGAACTTGGAGTGAAGTATTTCATGCTTTTTTTTTGGGGTACCGGGGATAGAACTCAGGTCCTTGCGCTTTCGAGGCAGGTGCTGGAACCACTGAGCTAAATCCCTGGACCAAAGATAACAACTTTTGACCTAGATGAATATATCCTGTAAAACTGTCTTTGAAACTCAATGGAGAAACCAAGCATGGTAGTGCATGCCTATAATCACAGTACTCTGGAAGCTGAAGCAGGAGAATTGCCACAAGATTGAGGCCTGCTTGAACTACATAGTGAGTTCAAGGCCAGCCTAAACTACATAGTGGGACCCTGTCTCAAAAACAAAATGAAACAAACCACCACATAGTGGGAAACCACCATACGCCACTTTCACAAACAGATCAACTGGACAAAAAGTCAACAAAGAAATATCTGCACTGAACCACACCTCTGAACAAACAGATTTAATAGATATCTACAGAGAATTATATCCCGCTACAGGAAAATACATATTCTTCTCAGCAGCAGAGAGAACTTCCTGTAAAATAGAACACATACTAATCTATAAAGCCTGCTTAAATAAACAAAAGGATCAAAATCATCTCATGCTATCAGGTCAAAGTGCCCTGAAACTAGAAATCAATTATAAAAGAAATCACAGAAATTTTACAAATGTCTGGATACTAAATAACTCTGAACATTGAATGGGTCACAGAAGAAATCAGGGAGGAAATTAAACAATTCTTAGAATCAAGTGATAATGCCTGTACAACATACCAGAACTCATGGCACACATGAAAGCATACCTAAGAGGGAAGTTTACTGCTGTGAAAGCTCACATTAGAAAAACATAGCAAGCTCAAATAAATAACTTAACTATGCACTTAAAGTTCCTAGAAAACTAAGAACAGTCCAAACCTAAGCCTAGTGTAGGGAAGAAAATTATAAGAATCAGAGTGGAAAGTAATGAAATTGAGACAAAGAAATACAAAGAATCAATGAATCAAAGAGCTAGTTGTTTGAAAGAATAAACAAAATAGGGCCGGAGATTTAGCTCAGTGGTTCTGCCGCCTGCCTCGCAAGCGCAAGGTCCTAAGTTCGATCCCCGGTACCGCCCCCCCCCCCGCCCCCAAAAAGGAAAGACCCACATCAATGCAATTAGAAAAGAAAGAGGCTAAATCACAATCACAATTGTGGCAGATTATTCTGCCACAATCCAGAATATCCTAAGTAACTACTATGAAAAACTGTACTCCAACAAATTGGAGAATCTCAAAGAAATGGTTAGGTTTCTAGATATGTATGAATTACCAAAACTGAACCAAGAATACATAAAAGCCCCAAATAATCCAATAACAGGCAATGAAATTGAGGCAGTAATAAAAAACTTAACAACTAAAAAAATGCCTGGGACCCAATGGATTCATTAAATTCTGAAATTGAAAGGGAAGGACTACTTCCAAACTCATTCCTGGAAGCAAGCATTACTCTCATTCCAAAACCACAGAAGGATCCAACTAAAAAAGAAAACTACAGGTGAATCTCTTGAATGAATATGGATACAAAAATTCTCAAAAAGATACTGGCAAACAGAAAGCAACAAATCATCAAAAAGATCATACATCATAACCAAGTAGGCTTTATCTGAGGGATACAAGGATGGTTCAACATGCACAAATCAATAAACTTAATACACCACATAAACAGCAAGAACAAAAAAATTACATGATCATCTTAAGAGATGCAGAAAAGCCTTTGACAGAATCCAACATCAATTCATACCTTCTTTTTTTGTTTTTGGTACCGGTGATCGAACTTGGGTCCTTGCATGTGCGAGGCAGGCGGTGGAACCACTGAGCTAAATCCCCAGCCCCAACATCAATTCATAATAAAAACCTTGAAGAAAATAGAAATAGAAGGACCTTATCTCAATCTGATAAAAGCCATTTATGACAAACCAAATGCCAATATCATATTAAATAACACTGAAAGCTTTTCCTCTAAAATCAGAAATAAGGCAAAGTGTCCACTATCACCACTCATGTTCAATATAGTACTCAAAAGTTTAGCCATAGAATTAGCCGAGAGAAAGGAATAAAAGGGAAAGATATAGGAAAGGATGAGGTCAAATTATCATTATTTGCAAATGACATAATCCTCTATGCAGAAGACGTTAAATTTCATTTAAAGTCTCCTAGAACTAAGAGCCAAATTCAGCAATGTAGCAGGATTTAAAATCAACACACAGGGCCAGGGATTTATCTCATTGGTTTCACTGCCTGCTGTACAAGCGCAAGGACCCGAGTTCAATCCCCAGTACCAAAAAATCAACACGCATAAATCAGTATCATTCCTTTATAACAATAATGAACACACTGAGAAACAATTTAGGAGAACAATACTGGAATTAATCTCACAAAGGAAGTGAAAGATCTCTATAATGGAAACTGTATTACTGTGAAAAAGAGGATTGAAGAGAACATCAAAATGGAAAGATATCCCCCCCTTCCTGGATAGACAGAACCAAATACTGTCAAAATGGCCGTACTTCCAAACTGATATATAGATTTTTTTTTCCAGTACTGGGAGTTGAAGTCAGGACCTTGTGCCTTGCCGGCAGGGGTGGTGTCACTGAGCTACATCCCTGGCCTTTTGATATATAGATTTAATGCAATCCCAATCAAAATACCAACAGCCTTCATTATATTACAAAGCTGATTAAAAACAGCATGGTACTGGCAGAAAAATAGATGTGGATCAATGGAACAGAATAGAAGAACGCCTGGTACATTCAGCCATCTGATCTTTGACAAAGGGGCAAAAGTATATGATGGAGAAACATAGCCTCTTTAGTAAATGGTGCCAGGAAAACTGGTTAGACATATGCAGAAGATTGAATCTAGACCCATATCTATCACCACTCACCAAAATAAAATCAAAATGGATCAAAGAGATAGATATTAAAAAAGAACAACTTAATCTGCTGAGAGATAAAATAGGTAAAACTCTTAAAGACATAGGTACAGGACATAGGTACAGGACTTTCTGAACAGAACCCCAATTCACAAGAAATAGCATCATCAACAAATAAGATTATATCAAATTAAAAAGCTTCTGCACGACAAAGGAATTCAGGAATGAAGAGACAACCTACAGAAAGGGAAACAATTTTGCCAACTACTCCTGTGACAGAAGACTAATATCTAAAGTTTGCAAAGAACTCAAAAGAAACCAGACCTCCTAAAATAAAAGACCCGATTGAAAAATAGGCATCTGAAATGAAGACACCTCTCAGAAAATGAACTACAAATGGCCAATAAATACACAAAGAAATGCTAAACATCTCTGACCATCAGAGAAATGCAAACAAAAACTATACTGAGATTCCATCTTACTCCAGAAGGAATGGCTTTCATAACCCGCCCCCCCCCCCGCCCCCAAAACAAGAAATAACAAAGCTTGGGGAAAAAGGGACCTTTCTACATTGTTGGTGGGAACATAAACTGGTATAAACACTATGGAAATCAGTATGGAGATTCCTCAAATAACTAAAACTAGAAATTCCATTTAACTCAGTTATTCCCCTTTTTGTTATCTTCTCCAGAGTTAAAGAAATCATGCCACAGTGATACATGCATATCCATGTTTAGGTCGTACACTTTTTTTTGTTTGTTTTTTGGTACTGGGGATCAAACTCGGGTCCTTGTGCTTGCAAGGCAGGCACTGGAACCACTGAGCTAAATCCCTGGCTGCATATCCATGTTTATAGCAGAACAATTCATGATAGCTAAATTTTAGGAGCCACTTATATATCTATCAATGGATGGATAAAAAAATGTTGTATTTATACATAATGCAGTACTACTCTGCCACAAAGAAGGATAAATTTGAGTCATTTGTAGGAAAATGGATGCACTTTGACATCATAATGTTTTTCTTTCTTTTGTTTTTGGTAACGGGGATCGAACTCAGGACCTTGCCCTTGCGAGGCAGGCATGCCACCACTGAGCTAAATCCCCGGCCTGACATCATAATGTTAAGTAAAATTAGACACACAAGCTTAAATATTCCATAACTTCTCTTATCTGAGAAATACAAATTATAAATAATTTAAAAGATCAAAAGACAATAGGAATTAAGGAAATAGATCTTTTGCAAAGGGGAAGGGGATCCAGAGATCCTCCTTTTGCAAAGGGGCAGGGAGTGATGGAAGGGGATGGAGAATAAAAAGAAGATATGTTAAGTTCATTTACCTACTTACTGAGATGAATGTGAATATTATGTACTGCGAATATGTACTAAGAAACATTTTAAAAAAATAAAGGTAAAAGCAATCCTCAATAAAATACATCTATTAGAAAACTTCTATTGTGATGCTGGGTCAGGGTTTATGAGGCCATGAGTTACCCAATTAACAATTTGACCCCTGGGGGCTGTATTCCTCGTGGGAACAGGTTTTAGTAAGAGTCAGGGGAGGGGGAGGTAAACCTGCCATTGTTGAGTGGGAAAACAACCACTGGGCAGGGGGAGGGCAAAAATGACTGTGACTACCAGGAACTTCTAGGGTAGATCAATTTTAGGAAAGAGAACCTAAGAACGTTGAGTATGTGAAACTTCGCATGTCCTTGTCACATGGGAAGTCTTCACGTGTCCTCTGTGGGTTGCTCACTGCAGTTCTTAGAGAGAGGCATCAAATCAACCCTGGGCAGCCCAAAGGAGCAACAGGCATCCCACTCTGCGGTGGGCGGGGCCGTATCTGCGGAACCCGGCTCCGCGCGCGCCCCGCCCCTTCCGGCGCGGGAAGTTTGATTTCCTTGGCGGGCGGAAGCGAGCTGTTCTGGTGATCGAAAAGATTCCTAGTAGGAATTTCTCATATCCAGGGTTTTCCCGGGAGGGCTGGCTGGCTCCTCTGTCCTTTTGTCGGTCCCGCCCAGTCCGGCCCTCCACCCCTCAGGTCAGTCCTCCTGCCTACCCTCGGGCCAGAGTCTGTCTGCGCCTGGCGCGGGTGAGGCCATCCGGGCGACGGAATTCTCTGGAACCCCACCCTACCAGCCCTGTTCCGTTGCTGAGGTCCTTACCCGTTCCCACCCGGGTTTTCTGCTCAGTGGATGATAGGACCTACTTCAGAGGGTTATTGGTGAGGCACTCAGGCACAGCATTTGCCACCCGGGAAGCTGCGATTGTGATTTCCCATTCCTGTTTTCATGACCTTGACTACCCACAGAAGTTCAGAGAAGGATTTTGAGTTATTTCTGTTTGTACAGTGCAGTTTTCTGAAGTACTTCAGTTTTTAAAAGTGCCATCACTTCCTTTTCAGAGTCCAAATCCTCTTCCTTCACCTCAGAGTAGTGGCTTCAGAGGCTCACGCCAAAAGGGTGCCCGGAAGACGGCAACGGTAAGGAACAGCAAGGTTGCTCCCACCAAGAAACCTGTGGGGAAGAAAGTGAAACTCCAGAAAAAGCGTCCAGAGAGAATGATCAGGCCCCTGGGTCCTAGGATGAGTAATTGTTCTTGAGTTTCACCTTAGGTATTTCTCCGTGTTTAATGGAATAGAGGGAAGGTAGAAATGCCTCTAGTTTTCAAGTTGATGCCTCCAGAAACCTCTGCAAGGGAGCAAAGCAGGATGCCATTTAACTATTTATTTATTACAAGGCCACATTATAAGCTATTCTGTATTCTCAATTGAAATTATCCTCAACACCATCGTCCTCACAGACTCACTAGCTAAATGTATTTTGCAGTAGGTGATAGTACAGGCCCCCCAGTAATGTATTTGTAATAAGATGCCCCCAGGTTGTTGCTTTCCCTTAACATTTAACCATAAACCTCCCATTATATTGCCAATTTGTCTTTTAGAGAAGTTCTGGACTGCAGTTATATATGCCCCCAGTTCTTCTATTAGAGATGCCTAGAAGACACTCAGGTGTCTGATTGGGTTCTAGTTTCATACTTTGTTGTTGGCATTTGAGAGACTGTCTTCCACATTGATTGATGATATATTTGGGTTATTTCAATGACAAATCTTTCAGTATTCTGTATTCCGACATCTAGAGGATAAACTGATATAAGAATATTTAATTTTTAGACTTGAATTCTTCTTTTTCTTGGTACCGGGGATTGAACTCATGACCTTGCACTTTCGAGCCAGGCATGGCACCACTGAGCTAAATTCCTGGCCCTAAGAATATTTAAAATTCCTTTTTTTTTTTTTTTTTCTGGTACTGGGGATCGAACTCAGGTCCTTACGCTTGCAAGGCAGGCGGCAGAACCACTGAGCTAAATCCCCAGCCCAAGAATATTTAATTTCTAAATATGGATTTTAGAACCAGCTCTATATCCACAAAATTTAAAAATCAAATATAATCTATCAATAGCTAGCGTACCACCTGTGGCCATTTGTGATATAAGCACTACTTTTCTTACATACTAGCAAAAATGATGTTCCCTGGACTTAATAGATATAATTTAGGCCCACGTTGGTATTACACACCCAAAGACATGTGGTATAATTATTTTTTGGTTTTTATGAGACAGGGTCTTGCTATGCTTTGGTTTTGATTTTTTTTTTTTTTTTTTTTTTTGAGACTGTGTCTAACTATTTAGGTCTGTCTGTATTTGAACTTACTATAGCCCAGGCTGACCTTGACCTCTTGGCAATCCTCCTGCTTCAGCCTCCCAAGTGTTGGGACTACAGGCATGTCCTACCCCTCCCGACTCCACCTGGTGTAATTTGAGGGAAGGCAGTAGAGGAAAATTGGCAGAAAAAGGAGGTGCAGTGATTTCAGTTTTAACTTGGTGCAAATTCATCTCTCCTAGTTGGCCAGAGGTGATGAATTGGAAGTTGAAAATTTTATTTGGTAGCCTTCTATCAAGAAGTTAATTATGACAGTCTTGTATTCCTAATCTGGAGAGGTGAATTCTAACATACTACAAATTGTGTTCTCTTTCGGAGGGTGACAATTGGAAATAGCCCTAATCTTTGTATGGAATTTAGACAGGTGCAGTGGTGATGACAATTAGACACTTCTTCATGAAGCACCTCATGGTTTTTAAACCTTTTTTTTTTTTTGTGGTACTGAGAATTGAACTCATGGCCTTCACCCTGAGCTACATTTTTAATTTCTTATTTTGAGACAGGCTCTCTCCAAGTCACTAAGTTGCTAAGGCTGGGCTCTAATTTGGGATCCTCCAGCCTCAGTCTCAAAGTGTGGGGATTACAAGCTTTTGCCACTACACTCAGCTGGTTTTTAAAACTATAATGCCTCTTTGTGTTTCCTCTTTAGCCTTTGTGTTATGAGTATCCCAATACTACATTACTTGGGGCTTTGCTCTTTAATGAACCTGCTAGCTTTAAAATTTTTAAAAAAATTTCCGCTTTAGTACTGGGGATTAAGCCCCTGGCCTCCATGCTAAGCTACATCTCCAAACCTTTTGAGACAAGGTCTTGTGAAGTTGCCCAGGTTGGTGTGGAACTTGTGATCCTCTTGCCTCAGCCTCCCACAGTGGTGGGATTACAGGTACACACCACCTGCTCAATGTTTTTTTTAGGTGGGGGTCTCACTGAGTTGCCTAGTGGGCCTTGAACTCCTGGGCTCATCTGACCCTTCTGTCATAGCCTCCTAAGTAACTGGATGCCACCATGTCCAGCTCTGTTTGGTTTTTGATATAGGGTCTTGCTCTGTAGTTCAGGCTGGCCTTGAACTCACTTTGTAGCCCAAGCTGGTCTTGAACTTGTGGCAATTCTCCTGCCTCAGCCTCCTGAGTGCTGGGATTACTGGCATGCACCTTCATGCCCGGCGACAATATTCTTTTAAATGTTTTACCATACTGGGGATTGAACCCAAGACCTCATGTATACTAGGCAAGTGCCCTACCACTGAGCTACATTCCTAGGCCTTTTTAAATATTTTAAAAGTTTATCTTTCATGTTTATGTCTTTATCTGACATTGATTTGGCGTATGGTGTGAGATAGAAATCTAATTTTTTTTTTTTTTTTGTACCAGGGATTGAACTCAGGACCTTGTGCTTTTGAGGCAGGCTGTGGAACCACTGAGCTAAATCCCCAGCCAGAAATCTTAATTTTTTAAAAATATGGCTAAGCAGTCCCCCGCCAGGACCTTGTGCTTGCAAGGCAGGCACGGTGCCATTGAGTTAAATCCCTGGTCTAATCAGTTTTCTAATATCATTTAGATACCTAAGTTTATTTATATTTACAGATACAAATAGAAGAGATAATCTGACAACATTTCCTTTACTGGTCATGTACTATTTTTGTCTTACAGGTTCTTTTTGTCATTTTGAATAAGCTTCCAGGTGGACAATGAAAGATTATGATGAACTTCTCAAATACTACGAATTATATGAAACTATTGGGACAGGTAACTGATTTTTCTTGGAGGCAGAGGATAGGTCAGCTATTTGAAAGTATTGTCTATTTGGGCAGTCATGAGATTTTTAGTTTAACTTTCCTAGTCTTATGTGTTCATTTTGTTTATTTTTTTGTAGTTTTAGGTTTTCTACTTTAGTGAGAAAAAGAGGAGCAAGGATAGAGGAGAGAAGTAGGTGACTTCTAGTTCAGTAAAGAACTTTGATTTTTATCCTAAATATAAGTCATTGGAGAGTATCTGACCTTTGTTTTCATAGGGTTACTTGGCAGCTTAGTGGTAAAAAGATTGAGTAGGAGAGGGCAAGAGCAGAAGAGAGTTGTTAGGAAAGTACTAAAGTAGCTTAGGTGAATGATATTGGAGTGGACAGTGGCTTGGGTGAGAGTGACAGTAGTGAAACGTAATATAATTATGTTTTAAGTATAATATACAATAAAATATGCATAATACAGTAACCTCAGTGGAGTTTGACATATATGTTACCCATCTATTTTGCCCTTGTATTATTTACTGAGATAAGACATAGACCATTTCCAGTCAGTACCTACTTCCTTTCCCCAAAAGTAACCATTGATGTATTTCTCCCAAAGTAAGCCAGTGGGATTTGTTGATGGGTTACATATTAGAGAAAGAGAAGGCTAAGGATAGTTACAGTGTTTTAGGCCTGAGCACCTTTGGAAAATGGATTTGCTCTTTTCTGAAATGGGGAAGACCATGAGAATGACAACAAGGAATTTCTTTTTGTAGGCAGGGGGAATATGATTTTTGTTTATATTTTTGAGACAAGATCTTGCTATGTAGTTCAGGCTGGCCTTGAACTCACTGTGCAGCCCACGCTAGCCTCAAACTCACTGCAATCCTCCTGCCTCAGCATCCTGAGTGCCGGGGTGTGTGCCACCCCAACAAGCTTTTTTGTTTGTTTTGTTTTTGTGAAACAGGGTCTTACTAGTAGTCCAGGTTGGCCTCAAATGTGCAGGAATCGCCCTGACTCAGCCTCCTGGGTGATGGGGTGTGTGCCACCACACCCATCTAGAGACATTTATTGTTATTGAGTAGTTTTGAAACATAATTGCTTATCTTAATAGTTTTAAAAACTGATTAGAAATTTTGTATAGTTTGTCTTACATTTCAACTTTATATTGTATTCTAGAAATGTTCATTATAAAGCAAATTTAATTGTAATGTTAATCATAAAGCATATCTGTAAAGAATGATTTCTGTTTTTCTACTTTATTACAAAGTTATATATATATTATTATGGTAAGGAGAAAAATTCTTCAGCTAGACATTGAACGAGAAGAGGCTAGAGTCATTCTAACATTTTGGAAGTGACATATGGAAAACCTCCAGGAAAATATGTCTCCATTGAGCTTTTTGGTTTTGTCTTTTGGTTTTGGAGATGCGGGGGTCTTGCTATGTTGCACAGGTTGGTCTTGAATTCCTAGGCTTAAGTGATCCTCCAGCTGAGCAGGAGTATGCATGCGCCATTGCAAATATAGAAGGTGTTTGTGCTTGAGTTCTTGCTTATCTATTATACATTTTTCTATATTTAGGTGGCTTTGCGAAGGTCAAACTTGCCTGCCATATCCTCACTGGAGAAATGGTGGCTATAAAAATCATGGATAAAAGTGCACTAGGGGTAAGTTTAAAATTATTTTTGTAATATTCTACTTATAGATCAGTTTTGTGATTAAAACTTGAATGTCCTAATTATTGCTCTTTTTTTTTCTTTCTGGTACTAGGAATCAAACTCAGGACCTTGTGCTTGCAAGGCAGGTGCTGTGCCACAGAGCTAAATCCCCGGCCCAATGCTCTTTTCTTAAAATGATATTTTTGTAGTTTTTAAAAAGTGTGCAGATCATGATTTTAAAGTAGTCTGGGGGAAGGGGTTACTTTGTTCAGATTAATGCAGGGCAATGGCACATATTTCACCTTGTTTATTTTTTTGTGGTACAGGGGATCAGACTCAGCACCTTGTGCTTGTGAGGCAGGCACAGTGCCACTGAGCTAAATCCCCGGCCCTAGATATTTCACCTCTGTAGATATGCTGTCTCTACCATTTGGACCTTCTCTTAGGTTGCTCACTAGTGCCAATTGGTTGATGTAAGCACCTTCACCATTTGGGGCCATTTGGACCCATAACAGGTTATTTTGGGGCACTGACTGGTGTGAGATTCAGAGGTAGAAAAAATTTCCAGGCATTTGCTTGGTTTGGAGCATTCATTTGTTTTGATTTGCTTTGGTTTCATTTATCTTTCTCTTTTTATAACTGCCTTTATTCTAGAATGGGCAGTAGGGTTTCAGCACTGTCTAGAGGCTGCATACTAGCTGCAGCTTGGAATCTGTGATGAGAGGGCCTAAAATAAAGCAGGAAAGATCTCCCAATTTAAGAACTGATACAATACTCCGGCCAAGGAGCTTCCCATTTTGGGGGCAGGAAACTACCTTCTAAAGCAGTATTCAGATAGAGATTTAAGTCCATCCTACAGAGGTGGTAGGCCTCGTCCATCCTTTTCCTTGTCATTGGGTTTCTTATGAACCCATCTGGGGATTTATGTCAGCCACTTTGGGCCTTGAGCTGTTCTGAGGCTTCTTCATGAGCCTGTCTGGAATTCAAGGTTCCTTAACTCTTTGGCTGACAGAGAAGTTTGGATTAAGAGACTTTAAGAGGCTGGAAACACTGGGGTGTGTTTAGAGATTATTTGTGATATGCGCAGGAATAAAGGTGCTGGTGCTACTCCATAGCTCCCTAGAGAAATTATAGATACCCATGACAGAAAGGGGTGATTTTATTGTGATACAACATGGCCTGTATAACTAAAAGTACACTCTGATTTTATGCAGCTGTCCTTAAGATTCTCTGGAGTAACTTAGGCCAGGTTAACATTCATAGCTGCTTTCCTTACTCTTTTTTGGATTAGAGGCAAATATAAGCAAGAGCCTTCTGTAATAGCTTAGAGACATGTAACTGGTAAAGCCACTTTCCTCTTGGTTGATAAGAGATAGTCTTATTCAAATATATATGTCTAGCATTAGTAAATTATGTGCCTTCCCCCACGTGGTAATTCACATTGTTTTACAAGAAAAGGAAACCAAGTATTTGTTTGGTACACCTTTCTGACAACTAACCTTGTCTCACAGAAGTATTGGCTTTCTTTAACTTGGTAACTATGTTTCTTAGTTCAAGTCTGCTACACGGACTGGACCTGCTTTCCTCTTACTGGCTTGTTTTATATCAACTTGTAAGCTTTGTAACTATTGTTTGTTAAAGTTCTAACTACAGAATAGACAGGATAAGACTTGACATTGGACTCTAGGTAAACTCAGCCTAAGAGACAGTCTTTCTAAATCCTTGCTATTGCTGAAATTTGGCAAGAAGAACTTTTATGACACTGATTCCAGTCATCTTTCTTATCCCCTCCAGTGTGGGACATGTTCTAACTAACTCATCAGGAAAAGTTACCTTGGCGCCAAGGGACAAGGCTGCAGCTTTAATTGGCAATGCTTTCAGAAGAGAAGGAAACATTCAAAGGGGGAAAGTTGTGAGCATCAGTCACCCATGTATCAATCCTCCCCAAAATAAGTAGAACTATGGAGGCTACAAAAGAGGTTCTTATGGGTGATTGCCTAAAAGCAAAAGCCCTTCCAGCAGGTATAATGGTTAGATATCTCCTGACTTTGGATTTCTTTTGTGTGTGACCTCACAATCTTTAGTGATACCTTTTTAGCCTCAGGGTTCTGGCTTCCTTTTGCTTTGCTCCAGCTATCTTTGATGGAATCTGTGTGCCAACTCAACATGAGTCTGCCAGGCAGACGATGTGGCACCTCAAGGCCCTTGAGATTGAGGGCTAGACTAAAGCAAGAGGAGGGCAGGGAGTTGTGACCAGCACCACAAAATGGAACTTTAAAAGTCAGATTTTTTTCTTTTAGAGATAAGTAAGTGGCTTCTCCAAACTTCCTTAGGCCTAAGGCATACCCAGTACCCCCACCTCCCCTCAGCTCAGATGAATGGACAGAATATGCAGATGCTGGCACCAGGAGGTCAGGTCCAGTTTCATTCCCTTGGGCAAGGGATAGAGAGGTTTGGGGTCCAGGAAGGAATGAAACAAGGGTGAACAGATCTGTTGTTTTACTGTATTCCCGTCCCTCTGTTCCTCAGTGTAAAAGTTCCCAATACACTTGTACACGGGGATATGATGATTTGAGGCAAATGACCCCCTCCATCTCCTTGAATCTAGCTTTGGAAAAGTCTTTTTTTCCTTTTTAACAAAAAATTTTTTTTGTATTGAGTTAGTATTATAATTGTTAGTAGTATACAGTTGAGTAAAACAGCATAAACATTTTTATAGATTTTCTCAATTAGCAAACATAAAAATAGTTTTTCAATGCTTTTTTAAAAAACTTGTTTTTCTGAGACAGGGTCTCACTATATAGCCAGCCATGCTGGCTTTAAACTCAGGGTGATCCTCCTGCCTTAGCTTGCCTCAGTGCTGGGATTACAAGCATGCGTATATGTACTACCACCTGGTTTAAATGCCTTCCTTATGATGGAATGAGTCAGTGTTTAACATGGTTACCTTGTTTTCTATTTTTAAGCATGTAAGTCCTGATAAATAAGTCAAAGGAAATAGAAGGAGTTTTGTAATAGCAATGCCATTCAATTTTTTGAATTCTTTTTTTTTGCTTTTTCAGACAGGGTTTAGCTATGTATGTAGTTCAGACTGGCTTTGAACTTACTGTATAACCCAGGCTGGCCTTGAGCTCATGGTGATCTTCCTTCCTCAGCCTTCCAAATTTTTTGAATTCTTTTTGAAATGTGCTAAATATCACACAGTGGCCTATTTTAGAAATTAATTTTAGTCATCTATCAACCAACAATTCATTCTCCTTCATTTTTTTTCTTTTGGTGCTCATTACTATATTAATTTAATAAAAGAGCACTAAAAACCATTTTTTCAGCATTTAACATTGATTATAAATTTGACTATTTAGTTTCCTTAAGTAGTTTAGACTCCAGTTACAACTTTAGTAAGAATAATTCATTTGAAAATTTAAAACTCATATAGCAAAAATGTGTGTTATAAAATGTATTATCATATTGATGCTCAATACTTATCCCCTAAAGCATCAATATCATGACATTCATTATTTCTAAGCTTGATTTTATGTTTTCTATTGATTTATGCTTAATTTAGTTAGTTCCTAGGATTTTAATATTTCAGTTACTTCTAGGGTTTTAGTCATCATAACTCCTCCCCCAAAACAAAATGAACATGAAGGATTACTATATCAGAATAGTTGTAGTTGATTCTTGGTCAAGACCTGACATGGTTGCATAGTTCTAGTTAATTGGATCTTGAGCCACACTGATCATTAGATTGAGACCTTATTTATTTATTCATTTATTTTTGGTTTTCATTTTGAGACAAGGTCTTGCTATGTAGTTCAGGCTGTCTTGAACTCACTGTATAGCCCAGGCAGGCCTTGAACTCATGGTAGTCCTCCTGCCTCAGCCTCCCAAATGCTGGAATTGTGGCTGTGCATCGCCTTGTCTGGCGAGAACTTTTTTGTTTTTGTTTTTTGTTTTTGATTTTTTGAGACATGGTCTTGCTGTGTAGTACAAGCTGGCTTTGAACTCACTATGTATGTGAGGCTGGCCTCGAATTTGCAGTGATCCCCCTGCCTCTGCCTCCCAAGTGCTGGGATTACAGGCGTGCACCACCACGCCCGACCTGGCAAGAGCTTTTTTATAATAAAGTGGACTTATTATTTCATGGGAGTTCTAGGTTTCTGTCTTTTAAAATTTTTTGTGTACACGATGATCACATTTCTTGTAGAGATTAGGTGCATGTTTCAACCTTATAGTTGACACATTTCTTAATAAATTTATTGCTCGTTTGAAATGATGTTTTGTCCTAGAGTGATCTGCCTCGGATCAAAACAGAGATTGACGCCTTGAAGAATCTGAGACACCAGCATATATGTCAACTCTATCATGTACTAGAGACAGCCAACAAAATATTCATAGTTCTTGAGGTTAGTAGTATGTTCCAGATGCCTAAAAGTGTTTAGTCACTTTATCCATAGTTGAGAGAAAATTGCATGTCACCTAAAAGATTAGAATGAATGTTAAGTAGTTTACTTGAGTTCTGGCTGTAACAATTTAGATTGTAAAAGTAGACATACAGTATAAAGTGGAGACTCATTGTAAATATACTCTTTCTGATAGTCCCCTAATGGAGTGGTATAGTTTAGAGGATTGCATATGTTAAAATTTGCTCTTAAAAGATGGATTCATTTCAATTTTATAATCATTTTAATTTTATATTTAATTTTAATTTTATGTTCCTAAGGCTAGCAGATGAGTACATATAACTTTACTGGGATTACCATGTCTGACTCTTTTTGGAGGTGTTGATGGAGAATCTATTTCAGGGCTCTTTCCTAGTTCCTGGAGGTTGTTACTAATCTTGTTTTTCGGTTTTATTTTGAGACAAAGTCTCGCTATGTAATTCAGGCTGGCCTTGAACTCACTATTTAGCCCAGGCTGGCCTTGAACTTGTGGCAACTCTCCTGCTTCATCCTCCCAAATTCTGGGATTACAGGCATGCACCCATCACATCTAGCAGTTGCTGGCAATTTTTGGTGTTTTTTGGCTTATAGATATGTCACTCCAATCTGTGCCTCCATCTTCAAATGCTGTGTTCCTCTCTTGAGTGTCTGTCTCTGTCCTGATTTCCCTTTTCTTATAAGGGACCCAAGTCACTGGGTTAAGGCCTACTGTAATTACTTTCTCTCAACTGGATTACATCCACAAAGACCTTCATTGTAAATAAACTCACAATCATAGATACCAGTGTTAGGACTTGAAGATATCTTCTAGGGAGTCAGCCCACAGCGTATGGGTAGTTTCTAGTGCATGTGTTATGCAAATCAATTTTTTCCAAGTTTTAACCTGTCCCTTTTTGGCATGAAACATAAATGTTTTTAGAACTCGCATTATTCATCTGTTTCATTTTCATTAGTCTTAGCCAAATGATCTGTAAGTATATTTTCACAGATCAGCACTGTTTTAAAAGCATATATATATATATATTTTTTGGTACTGGGGATCGAACTCGGGTCCTTCCGCTTGCAAGGCAGGCAGCGGAACCACTGAGCTAAATCCCTGGCCCTTAAAAGCATATTTAAAAATGTATAATGTTGAAAGTTTTGGATCTAGAAGTATTTTTACTTTACCACACTGTACTACCCACAGAGTCTACAACAGTTTTAAAACTTTTTTCTTTTGAGTTGGGGGTCTTGCTCTGTTGCCCACTTTGACCTTGAACCTTTGCATTTAAGCATTCCTCCTGCCTCAGCCTCCCAAGTAGCTTAGAAAATAAATAAAATCCCGAAATATTCATGAACCTTGGACAGGATTTAAAGGATACAAGAAGATATATATTAAAAATAAAAATCCTCTTTTCTCCTGAATCCCAGCCATTGACTTTTTTTTTGATGTCTCCTGTAGTTACCTATATATATTTTATAAATATGGCTTTGTGTACATGTGTAGTTTTTTGGTTTCTGTCACACAAATGGTCACAGACTGTAATATCACTCTACTTTTTTTCTCTCCCACTTAACATTTTAGCTTGGAAACCGTTTGTGTACATCATAGAGAGTTTAGATTTTTTTCTTTATTTTGTATTTATTTATTGGAAAACATAAGGTTATTTTCTTTACATACATATTACTGGGTAGTTTAAAAATTTATTTTGGCTGTATAATTTACATCTAATAAAACAAACATTGGCATACAGTTTGACAAATGTATATTAGTATATTTCCCACCCCATTTAAAGTATAAAACATTTTCATCATCCCGCTTCTCCTGCCTCATTAAATTAATCCCCATAACCGCACCTGCCCTGCCCATCCCAGCATCCACTGATCTGATTTCTGTCACCATAGATTATTTTTACCTGCTTTAAAATCTGATGTAAATGAATCTATAATACTTGTCTATACTCTTTTGGACTCAGCAAGCTTTTACACATTTATTATATTATACTCTTTTACACTTTGGTTTTTTTCACTTAATACTGGAAATTATTACTTACCAGTAGCTTTCTCTGTTTTTAGATTACTGCACAGAATTTCATTTTATAGCTATGACAGAATTGATATATTATGAGCATTTAGGTTGTAGTTATGGACTGAATGTTGGTGTCACCACAAAACTCATACGTTGGAACTTAGTCTCCAGTGTTATAATATTAAGAGGTGAGGAAATTTCAGAGTAGGGCTCCGCATTCATGAATGGAATTTGTGCCCTTATAAATGACACTTGAGGGAACTTTTTGTTTCTGCCATGTGAGGACACATAGCAAGTGCTATCTATGAGCATTTTTTTTTTTTTTTTTTTTTTTTGAGGCAGGGTCTCACTATGTAGTTCAGGCTGGCCCTGAACTCACTATGTAGTCCAGGATGGTCTGAACTCACAGTGATCCTCCTATATCAGTTTTCCCAGTGCTGAAATTATAGACATGCACTATTGCGCCAGCTCAGCTGACACTTTGATCTTGGATTTCCCAGCCTCTATAACTATAACCAATAAATTTTTGTTGTTTATACAAACAACAGAAAGTATTTTATGTAAGGTATTTTGTGATAGACCACAAATAGGCTAAGACATTTGTTTCTGGTTTTCTGCTTTTATAAACAACGCTGCTTCAGTGAATTATCTTTAATGTGCCTTAGTTTTGTTTTTTTTTTAAATGATAGCAAAGTTTTATTTGAGATAGGAAAAGAAACAGGCTCTGAGTAGGAAAAGAAGTACAGTGGACCCTCAAGTTACGACTGGCCTGACATATGAACAACTTGGGTTAATTAGTTTAATGGAAGATTCATCTGCCTCTTGTTATCTATAGTGTATACCCAGGTAAACATCCAGATCTCAGCTGTACTGACTTAGTTGCATCCAGCCCTTGGGGACTGATGGAGTTCGTAAGTTAAGGGTCCACTGTACTACAGTGTGGGTGTGCCATGGTGCAAGAGCAAATACAGTAGTCGTGCCTCTGTTTTGATGTGGAATATATCCACAGGAATAATCTAAATATGAAACTATGAGGACAAAGGCTATGTGCATTTATAATTTTCACATTATTAAAATAAGATGAAATTTTAAGTGGTAACCAATTGTGCAGAAACATGTAGCTGCTTTGGAAAGGGGATGGAAAACCTAGAGCTCTGTGCTCTGTCACCTCCTTACCCGACAAATACTGAGACACCACTGTCTAACTGGGCCCCTTCTGATGTGGACTGAAAAATCACTGGTCTTTGGACAGTGACCAATAATAATTCCTGGAGAACAATCATTACTACTGTTGTGTTTTTTTTTTTTAATTTTAGGTACTGTACTAAATGTGAGTACATTAAGATGAGAATGGGTTTCAGTACTATGCTATAAAAATATAAAACCCTGAGTGAGCTTTTAAAAATCACAATGGTCGTTAGTTCTACTTCTGTTTATTGGTAATAAAACTGTTCAAGGAAAGAGTTATTGTTCTCATTCCTAGAATAATTATTGACTTGCTTGATCCTGAGAGTATATTTTTGAATATGTTTACTCAGTTCCCTTGGCTTTAAAGTTGAATTAATATCTCTGAATTTAGTATAATTTTTTAATCTTATATTTCTTGGAAATGATTTCTATAAGATGTGACAATATCTGTGTGACTCTTCCTGTTGAAGTACTGTCCCGGAGGAGAGCTGTTTGACTACATAATTTCCCAGGATCGCCTGTCGGAGGAGGAGACCCGGGTTGTCTTCCGTCAGATAGTAGCTTCAGTTGCTTATGTGCACAGCCAGGGCTATGCTCACAGGGACATCAAACCAGTAAGTGACCCTGTCACACTTAAATGCTGACCTGAGAGTTCAGCACCATCTACCTATGAACCTGTTTTCAGGTTTGCAGATGTTTTGCTTAGGAGTCTATCTTAGCTGTGGTGCTGCTGCTGCTTTGGGTTTCTCTTCTTCCTCCTCCTCTTCTTCCATCCCCCCTCCTTCTCTTGTTCCAGTCAGAATCTGTCACATTTCATTTTTTTTTTCTTTTGAAATGTGGTGAGCTTTTTGGATGGATTAGTGTATTAGTCACTTCATTATTGCTAGGACAAATACCCGACACCTGCAACTTAAAGGAGGAGTGGTTTATTTGGCTCACAGTTTCTGGCAGGTTCATTCCAAAGTTGGCTAGTTCTGAGGCAGAAAAGGCATGGTGGGAGGGCCTTCCGGAGAACAGCTGCTTATCCTGTGGCAAGCAGGAGGCTGGGAGGATTGGGAGGAGGAACTGGGATCAAGAGCACACCTTTACAGGTCAGATCCCCAGTGACCCTCCCCCCTCCAGTCAGTTTTGACCTCCTAACTGATGTACCACTGAACTAACTCATCAGTGGATGAATCTACTTTTGAGTGTAGGACCCCAATGATCCAGACCTTCCAAACACATTAGACTTTGGGGGACATTTAAGATCTAAACTGTGACAGTTAGTGTTCTATTTATCTGCCATTTGTATGTGACATTACAAATGTCTTTGTGATCCAGATTTTATCTAGGAAAGAGGTCATTGAGTATGTTCTGTTCAGTGCTCTTTTTTTTTTTTCCAGTGCTCTTCTAACCTCATGTTCCTTTAATTTTAAATACATTACTCCTTAGAAACAGTTTGATGAAATTGACAGACTTCATTTTTCTTTTCTTTCTTTTTGTATGTACATATGTATGTATGTATGTGTGTATGTATGTTGGAATTGGGGATTAAAATCAGGGCCTTTGCACTGTGCTACATCCCTAGCCCTCCTTTCCTCCCCCTCTTCCTTCTTGCCTTCTTTCCTTCCTCCCTTCCTACGTTTCTTTTTGAGACAAGGTCTTGCTGCATTGCTAAATTGCCCAGGCTGGGCCTGAACTTGCCATCCTTCTGCTTTAGCTCCCAGAGTGCTGGCATTGCAGGCATGTTCTATTCTGCCAGGCTAGATCCACTCTTTAAGGGACTGAATAAAAATATGAATAAATTTTTAAGTCTGCAGGCTCTGACTAATGTGTGTGATAGTGAATATGAATTTAAATGTTACTTAGAGACCAAAGAATTGGTCTGAGCAGATAAGGCGGTGTTATTATTCTTTTTCATCCGTTTATGCTCAACTCTTCATTTTGAGTTCACATTTTAGGTTTAAATTTTCCCTTGGCACAAATTATATTTATAAGAAATCTTTTTTTTTTTGGTACCGGGGATCGAACTCGGGTCCTTGCACTTGCAAGGCAGGCGGCAGAACCACTGAGCTAAATCCCCGGCCCACAAATTGTATTTATAGGTAGTTGGTTTGGAAAGCACCAAAGAGGAATGGTTTATGCCAGTATGTCTTGATGAGAAGTGGTATAGTTAACAACATTTTTGCTCTTTCTCTTTTTATTTATTTTTAATTAAATTTTTTTTTCTTGTTGTTTTTTGGACAACGTCTCACTGTATAGTCCAGGCTGTCTTGAACTCACTATGCAGACCAGGCTGACTTCAAATTTGAGATCCTCTTGCCTTTGCCTTCCAAGTGCTGGGATTATAGACATGTGCCACTATGCCCGGTGTCTTTCTCTTTTTTTTTTTCGGTACTGGGGATCGAACTCAGGACCTTGCGCTTGTGAGGTAGGCACAGTGCCACTGAGCTAAATTCCTGGCCCTAAACTTCTTGTCATCTTATTAGTTTTTAGTGATTTTTACTCTGTTATATCTATGGTTTTTAGTATAAATAAGCTTAAACCATTTTTAAAATTTCTATTTTTTGAGGCAGGATCTTGCTATGTAGTTCAGACTAACCTTGAACTCACTATGTAACCCAGGCTAGCCTCAAACTCCTGGCAATCCTCCTTCACTGGGATTACAGGCGTGTGCCACAACACCTGACATTTTTTTTTAAACCCATTTTTAGAAGTGGCTAGAGGTGTGATATGTCATAAGAAAGTCAAAATATAGTTAAGAAAATACTTTTTGTTTTCTCAGGAGAATTTCTTATTTGATGAATATCATAAAGTAAAGCTGATTGACTTTGGGCTCTGTGCAAAACCTAAGGTAAGTGCAGAAATAAAAATGCACTTATTTCTTTGTAAGTGTATGTCTTAGTATGTTTTCTTGCACTGACTTCCACTTACTCTTTATTGAGCATGTTGCATCCTTTGTGAAGAATGTTAAATTTCACCCTTGGTGTCAGTAAGTTCTTTAGATAATTCTAATGTGTAGCTAAGATTGAGAGCCTCCTGTTCTAGGTCTAGGGGTTGGTCCTGCTGAATATCCCATGGGTGAGCTATGAGAGAATTTGTGGTGCTGATGTCTAAGGAAGCCATCCTAGTCTGGGTGTGAAATTGATCACTGTGATTGCAGTTTGACTATGTTACCACTAGATGATGCTTTTGTTCATTTAGACAGGAGGTGAGAATTTAGTGTCAATCTATTCTTAGTTATGCAACTAAGAATTAGTTACATTTTTGGAAACAATCCTCTTTACTTATAAAAGAAGAAGGAAAATGCCTATATGCACCTGTAAATTTATACCGGTAGGTATTTCCCTAATTTGCATTCCATAGTTAAGCACTGGTATTGTCCATCATAACTTCTGTTTGAGATGACTTTGAATTTCCCACGTCTCCTGTCTATAGTAGATCTCCTATGTAGCTACCTTTGATGTCCAACTCCTGAATTCTCTAATGATGGTACTGTTTCTAAAATGAGCTGTCGAAACTGCAGACTTGTCTCAAACTTTGTAATCCCATGAATATTTCCTGCCCCAATCAGAATTATCTAGGTGCAAAAGGAAGCAGATTTTGCCTCTTTGGTTCAATGTCTGATTCTTCGTTGGCTTTTCAGAGATTAACAGTGGAGCCTTGTGTCCGGGAAGCAAATGCCGAAGGCAGGTGCCTAACCCCCAACATATAAAGATCATACTTCGAATAAATAAGCTAATTTAAGTTATGGTGTCCAGAGAAAACAGTGGGGAATGTTCACGTCAGATTCTGTTAGCCTTTTTTTTGGTATGGGGGATCGAACTTGGGACCTTATGCTTGTGAGGCAGGTGGCGGAACCACTGAGCTAAATCCCTGGCCCAAAGGCAAGTTCAATTTTTTTTTTTTTTTTTTGGGGTACCATGGATCGAACTTGGGACCTTGCACTTGTGAGGCAGGCGGCAGCATCACTGAGCTAAATCCCCGGCCCGTTAGCCTTTTTTTATGGCTGCCGTGGATGCCACCCTCACAGTCACTGTTTACCAAAGTGGGGATAGCCTGGGAGATGATTGCCTCAAACTTTTGTGAAGATCTCACTTCTGGGCATGTTTCAGTTGTAAATGAAATCTCACAGTTTCACAAGTCCTTTGCTAGCTGTAAGATTCTATCCAGGAGGTGGGCAGTAGCTTCATTTTCATTTAGCCTTGATGTTTCTGTGGGAGGACAGAGGAGGATGAACAAATTTCTCATTTTACTAAATCTGGAAGTAAGGATGGTGATTCATCTTATAACTGAGTATAGAAAATAGACTCTTCATGTACTGTTCTATATACTGTGTTGCAGTCTTCCCTCTAAGAAGAAAGAAACTCTTCTGTGTAAAGATTTGATATTACAGCTAGGAACTGGCAAAGAATCGTTTTTTCTTGAGTACTTGAGGATAGGAAGACATGGGTGCTTGGATTATGCTACACTGATTGTGATGCGAATGAATATCTAGGGGAGTATGAGCTGGATGTTATTGAGCCAAGAGGAAAAAGATTTTGTGTATCGTTGTAGTATTGGAAATCCTGGAAAGTGAAGACTACATGTGCATACATGCATGCATCTATGCAGAGTATTGGGTTGGCTGCAAAAGTCTCTTATTATTTGGTATAGTTCTTCATCTAGCGTTTCTTTGTGTTCAAAGAGTGTTTATCAAATTTTGATACTTTTTTCCTATTTTTGTATTTTTTTTTGTACTGGGGATCGAACTCAGGACCTTGCACTTGTGAGGCAGATGCAGTGCCACTGAGCTAAATCCTTGAACCTGTTGTATATTTGTTGAGACAGGGTCTTACTGTGTAGTTTAGGCTGGCCTTGAGTTCACTGTGTAATCCAGACTGGCCTCAAAGTCGTGTGATCCTCCTGTCTCAGACTTCTATATGGTGGGCTTACAGGCATGTGTCACTGTGCCTAGCACCAAAATTTGATACTTTTTTTTTGGTACTGGCGATTGAACTCAGGATCTTGCACTTTCAAGGCAGGTGGAGGAACCACTGAGCTAAACCCCCAGCCTCCCACCCCCCTTTTTTTTAAGAGTAGGAAAAATTTATTGAGGGAAAGATAGCTTCTATCTAAGAGACGCAGAAGGGGGACTGGAGAATGGATTGCCCTGATCACCCAACTTCTCGAAGGTGTTTTATGGGACAAAGCCATGAAGTGAGGTGGGTTGAAGGTGGGATGAAAAATGTTTGATACTCTCAATGACTCTAATTAATAAGTGTTTCCTTTTTATCTTATTGGCAGGGTAATAAGGATTACCATCTACAGACGTGCTGTGGAAGTCTTGCTTATGCAGCGCCTGAGTTAATACAAGGCAAATCATATCTTGGATCAGAGGTAATTATTTATTGATTAACTTAGTATATAATTAACATACATTTATTGATGACCTGCAGTGAGTCAGGCACTGTGCACTGGGGATATAGCAATGAAGAAATAATCTTGTTAATCAAAGCATTTAGTCTATTTACCTAATGAGATTTATGAACTAACAGATGGAATGAATAACTTGGAATAAACATAATAACATAATACATATTTGAAACAGGGATATATTTCTGCTGTGTTTTCTTTCGTGGTAAACAGTGCCATACTTTGGACTGATTAGTCTAGTGGGTAGAGTATGAAACCTGGATTGTGGGCTTAGAATTTTAGAGATGTCAGTTAGCACAGAGAAAACCTGTCCTTTGTCCACAGGCAGCTCTTTGAGGCCAGCAGTCTGTGTAGCAGCCCAGGCCTGGGCTTTGCCTTCTTTACATTCACTACTTTAAGCTAGTCTGGGCTTTCTATTCTCTGGAGTATTAGTGTGGTTGAAGTTAGTATCATAAAGTATGATTTTTTTTTTTTGGTACTGGGGATTGAACTCAGGACCTTGTGGTTGCGAGGCAGGCAGCAGCACCACTGAGCTCAGTCCCCAGCCCTAGTATCATAAAGTAAAAACAAAACAAAAGAGACTAGTTATCAAAAGTTCAAGAAGTGGTGGGTTGAACAGTTTTCTTATTTTAAGACATCTCCAAATCTTTTAACTTGGTTTTTCGTATGGTATGATCCTTTGGTAAGGAAACATCACAGGTATAGCTAGTCCTGATTTTATTTGTGTACGGAACCCACTTTTCATGTGAAACATCTTTTGGAACTGGTGTTATATGGGGGAAACTTTGGGAAATATCAGGTTACTTAATTCGTCACATGAGAAGATGAGAACTAATTTTTTTTTGCTGACTTAATTTTGGTATAGTCTCAAACTTAAGTGTAGTACAAAAATAGAACGAGGAAGCCAGGTGTGGTGGCACATGTCTGCAATTCCAGCACTTGGGAGACTGAGGCAGAAGGATTGCCCAAGTTTGAGGCCAGCCTGGGATACATAGTGAGTTTAAGCCCAGCCTGAACTATGTAACAAGACCCTGTCTCAAAACAGAATAAGGAGCTTCTGTATTTTTAAATTAAGATTCACAATTTTTTTTTGGTACCAGGATCGAACTTGGGACCTTGCACTTTTGAGGCAGGCAGCGGAACCACTGAGCTAAATCCCCGGCAAATTCACAATTGTTTACATTTTTCTCTTCTTGCTGTATCATTCTTTCTCTGAATATACATGTATATAAGTACATTTTTTGGGGGGGTTATTTGAAAGTAAATTGTAGACATCAGATCCCTTTATCACTAAATATGTAGGCAACTTGCATATTTTTCCTAAAAGCAAGGATGTTTTCTAACTATATTTTAGTTATCAAAATCTGGGAATTTAACATTGATAGAATTTATTTAATGCACAGTTCAGAATTCAATTGGTGCTACTTGTACCAATGATATCCTTTATAACTTTATTTTTCCCCTAGTTCATGATCATCATTGCATTTAGTTAGTGTCTCTTTAGTCCTAATTATTTATTTTGGTTTTTTGAGATGAGGTCTTGATATATAGTTTATGCTGGTCTTAAACTGATGTAGCCCAGGGTGCCCTCAAACTTGCAGTGATCTTGCCTCAGCCTCCCAAGTGGTGGGCTTAGAGGCATATGCCACCATGGCTAGTTTCTTTAGCCCTTCTCTTTAATCTGTAAGACTTTTTCAGGCTTTATTTCCTTTGACCTTAAACCCCCTTATTCCCTAATTGGGAATTGAACCTAGGGCCTTTGCATTGAGCTACCTCCTTTTTTTTGAAACAGGGTCTTGCTATGTAGTTCAGGTTGGCCTTGGACTCACTATGTAGCCCAGGCTGGCCTTGAACTTCTGGCAACCCTCCTGCCTCAGCCTCCTAAGTGCTGAGATTATAGATATGTGCCACCATGCTTGGGTCCAGCCCTTTTCGAGAGAGGGAGAAAGGAAGGAAGGGAAAAGAATAAAATGAATAGAAGGAAAAAAATGAAAACAAGGCTTTTGTAAATAAGGAGGGGTGGAGGAGTTAAAGGGAGAGGAGAAGATTAGAGAAAAAAGAATCAAGATATATATGTACAGGTACAAATTCCTTATGATGAATGTGATCATTATATCTAAAATGTACCAATAAAATTAGTTTTAAAAAAATTTTGAGACAAGGTCTTGCTAGATTGCTCAGGTGAGACTCAAACTTGTCATCCTCTTACCTTAGCCTCCCGAGTGCTGGAATTACAGGTGTGCACTACTGGGCTTGGCTAACATTTTTTTGTTTTTTATTTTGGAGACATGGTCTCACTATGTAGTCTAGGCTGGCCTTGAACTCACTATGTAGCCTAGGTTAGCCTCAGATTCATTATTTTCCTTTTTCAACCTCCTGAGTGCTGGGATTTCAGGTGTCCACTACCACATCTGGTGTTAACACTTCAAATTTTATTTTGTAGAATGTCTATGAATTTGAATTTGTTTAATACTTTCTCTGATTAAATTCATCTTAGGCATTTTTGGCAGACATACCATAGAAATAATTTTGTGGCTGTCTTAGTTCAACATAGGAAAAGGAACATATTTTTACTGAGAATTTGTCCTTAAATCCATACGAGACACTTTATCACTTTTTTTTTCCTTTGGTAGTGATGGGGAAGAAACCCAGGGTACTTTTTTTAGTACTGGAGATTGAACTCAGGAAGCCCTACCACTGAGCTACATCCCTGCTTTTTTGGTTTTAATTTTGAGACAGGGTCTTGCTGAGTTACTCAGTTGTCCAGGCTGGGCTCAAACTCATGACCCTTTTGCCTCAGCCTTCCTGAGTGCTTCGATTGTAGTAAGCACCTCTGCTTCCAGCTACTTTTTATCTTTTTTTTATATATAACTATTATCAAGCACACACACATACAAAAATTAAAACCATTCAAAGAAGAGCAATACAAGGGAAAAAAACTACAATAATATTCAAATACAGTAGAACTCAACCAAAACAAAACTGAAAAGCACTTAAACATTTTTTCATATAACTTAAAAAAGCATCTCCAGCACCAACAAGACACCAGAGGATGTGATTTGTTTCAGAAAGCTCCCCAAAACCAACACTGAACAAATAGTGGTCTGGAAAAAACTCCAGTTAGCTAGCAGACTCCACATAAGCCAAGCTTCTCCCTAATTTAAATTTCGATACAGTCATATGACACGCTATGGAAACAATCTGAGAACTATGTTATTAGGCCATTTCATCCGTGTGTATCCTTAATTACACTTTCAGTTTCTCACACTAGAGAAACTATTCAGTATTTACACATGTGTGTCCTCTTTATTTCACTTAAGAGGATGGCCTCAATATGCATCCATTTAGCTATAAATGTCTCTAGTTTCTCGTTCTTTATGGCTGAGTAGGACTCCATTTTATAAAAAAACCGCATCTTCTTTATCCAGTTTCCAGTTAATGGGCACTTGGACTGTTTCCAAGCTTTCACTATTACAAACTGTGCCGCTATAAACATGGGTGCACATATATCGCTGTGGTATGACTTTTAATTCTTTGGGAAAGATACCCATCAGGGAAATAGCTGGGTCAAATGGGACCTCCAGCCCTAGTTCTTTGAGGTATCTCCATACGGATTTCCACAGTGGTTGCACCAGTCTGCACTCCCACCAGCAATGGAGAAGGGTTCCTTTCTCTCCACACCCCCACCAGCATTTGTCACTGGTTGATTTCTTGATAGCCATTCTTTGTGGGCTGAGGTGGAATCTCAGTGTTGTTTTCATCTGGATCTCTCGAATGACCAGTGATGTTGAACATTTTTTCATGTATTTATTTGCTGCTTTTACTTCTTTGTCTGAGAAATGTCTGTTCATTTCACATGCTTATTTTTGAATTGGGTCTTTGAATTTGGGGGGGGTCTGATTTTTTTCAATTCTTTATATATTCTAGATAGTAGTCCTTTTTCTGAGATACAGTTGCGAAAAATTTTTACCCACATTGTAGGTTGTCTCTTAGCTCTGTTGATGGTTTCTCTTGCAGTGCAGAAGCTTTTTAATAAGATAAGATCCCAGTTGTTGATTTTTTGTGCAAGTTCCCATGGCCCTGAGGTTTTGTTCATAAAATCTTTTCCTATACCAATGTCTTCAAGAGTTCTACCTAACTTATCTTCCAGCAAATTTAGTGTTTTTGTCTTAATAATTAAATCTTTAATCCATTTCGATCTTAATTTAGTGCATGGTGATACTTTTTATCTTTAATTGTAGTAAAATACACATAAAATTTGCCATATTAGCCTTTTTTAAGTGTATACTTCAGTAGTGTTAAGTACATTTACATGGTTGTGCAACAAATCTCCACAGTGTCATTTTGCAGAACAGAAGCTATACCCATTAAACAGTAACTCTCTGTTCTTACCTATTCCACTCTCCTGGCAGTTATCCTACTTTCTGTGTCTATGAAATGTTTGTTTTTGTTTTTTTGAGACAGGGTCTCGCCATGTAGTTCAGGCTGACCTTGAACTCACTATGTAGCCCAGGCTGGCCTCAAACTCATGGCAGTTCTCCTGCCTCAGCCTTCCGAGTGCTGGGATTGCTGTGTGCCATCATGCTTGGCTGTCTGAATTTGACTATTCTATAGATCTCATATAAATAGAATCTTAGAGTATTTGTCTTTTTGTAACTAGCTTATTTCACTTAGCAAAATGTCCTCAAGGTTCATGCAGGTTTTAGCAGGTCTCAGAATTTTCTTTCTACTTTTTTAAGGCTGAATAATATTCATATATATATATACCTTTTTGTTGGTTAATTCATTCCTGGATGGACAGTTGGGTTGCTTCCACCTTTTGGGTATTGTGAATAATATTACCAGGAACATAGATATATATGAACATCTCTTTGAGATCTTGCTTTCAATTTTATATATAACCAAGTGCTGTATAAAGTATATATTCCCAGAAGGGGAATTGCTGGATCATGTGGTAATTCTGTTTCTGAGGAACTTCTGCACTGTCTTTCATACTGGTTGCACCACATTATAGCCTGATCAATAAATAGTGCACAAGAGTTTCACATGCTAGATACTTTTTATCATTTTCATTAAAGCGACATAAAAATCCTTTGGGCAATAGTGGATATTATTACCTGATTTCATAAAGTAAAGAAGAAACTCAAGCTCAAAAAGTAGGTACTTTGCAAGGTCACACAGCTAGTGACTACTGGTCAATATTTGAACTGAGTGAAGGACTCTTTTTATTGTTCATCTGGTCTCCTGGGAGTGGTAATCATGTGCCTCAGAAGTTCCCTAGAGGGCTGGTGAGAAAGTCCTGCTGGTCTGAATGTATCTTTTCTCCTGTGTAATCTTATTTCTTGATCATGTTAGTTTTCCAGCCTTCTACGACAGTGTTTTAAGGACAGTGTACCGAGGAATCCCCTTGGGCTCTTGTTGAAAGATGTAAGGCAGAGGGCTGTTCCCTCAGAGATTTTGGCTTTATTTTTCAAGATAGAACTTTTAAGAACCTCCATTTAAAATAAACAGTTTAGGTGATTCTGATGCTTATGGTCCAGATCATGCTTAAAGGACGTGTTCTATGATGTCTCTGATTTCTTCAGTAATTTCTCACAGGAAATGGTTTCAAACCCCTCTTCCCCCAGTTATTTTTGTCTTATTTGGCAATTGGTAGCTAATAGATTTACTTGCATTTGCTTTGGCTTATGATTTTGGTTGGTTAATTTATTCTCATATTTAATTTGAAATAGTAAAGTGAAGGTGCTTTGAGTTAACCGAAGAGTACTTTTTTTTCTTTCCTCTCTCAAGTAGGCTTTGATAGATTCCTATGGGGATATTGCTGTCATTTTCTTTATCTCCCCCCCCCCCCCGCAATATTGGGGATTGAACTCATGGCCTTTGTACTGAGTTACATCTCCAGCCCTTTGTTATTTATTTACTTTTTTATTTTGGTGCTGGGGATCAAACTCAAGACTTTGCGCTTGTGAGGCAGGCGCAGTGCCACTGAACTAAATCTCCGGTCCTGTTATTTTTTATTTTAAGACAAAGACTCACTAAGTAGCTAAGTTGCCCAGGCTGGGCTTGACCTTGCAATCTTCCTGCCTCAAACTCCCAGGATGCTGGGATTACAGGTGTGTGTCACCATGCCCAGTTTATTTTCTTAATTTTTTAGTTAACACAGGCATAATCTCTCTGTTGACCTCTTATGGTATTTGACAAGGCCATGTTAGCTCACTTCCCTCTGTGGCCTCTACTTTGAATTTATTTGTTTGTTTTTTGAGACAGAGTCTTGCTATGTAGTTCAGGATGAATTCACTATGTAACCTAGGCTGGTCTTGAGCTTGTGGTGCTCCTGCCTCAGACTCCCATGTGCTGCGTTACAGGGCTGTGCCACCATGCCCTCTACTTTGAACATAGCATCCTGGCCATGAGTGCCATGCCATCGTGCTTCAATTTATAGATTAAATATTTGACATATCTCTGGGATGGATGGCTAATTTCTGACCTCCTACAGCTTGGAACAAAAATCAAGTGTCAGGTTGAAAAGCGAATTGTTCATCTGAGGTATAATAGTAGAGATCTAGTAACTTGATGTGCTTTAGTAGCCAGGAATGAATTACCTGGGTTATCTAGTATACGTAATATCTAGATGTGTGATGCTGCCCAAGTTAACTGTTTGCCTTCTTTTTCTTTTCCCTTCAAAAAAATTGCTAATACAAGCTTTAAAAATTTTCCTAAGGATTAAATAAGGGCAAGAACTATGACTTATAATGGTGATGCCGTTATTGACTAAGGCCAAATACTACTTGAATAAATAGTTGCTGCTTAGGACTCATGGGTTACATGGATATCTCATATAAAGGTTAAACTCCTTTCTGGATTTTGAGATTTGTAGAGTTATTTGTGCTGGCAGGCTAGGTTCTAGCCTGAAAAGTCAATCATTGAATTTTATTAAGATTTCTCTACATAGAGAGGATTTTACAACGCAGCTTAGTCACATTTGCAGATTATCAGGAAATTTTCAGACTTGTTTTGACATCCCCATGCCTGTTTACATAATCCTCATATGCAACCTAAACCCTTGGTGGCCCTGTAGAATTGTCTTTATAATCAGAGACCTGGCTTCATTTCCTTATCATACCCAATCCAGCCTAGCCAACTGGAAATTATTTTCTATTAAGTTTTAGCATGCAGCTAGAGGAGAGTGTACTGAACTGGAAGGCACGGGGCCTTCCTGGGTGACCTGCCATTGACAGAATGATTTTGGACAAACTACTTTCTGGGCTTAAAGTTCCTTGTCTATCTAGAGAATCAGTGGTTGAACAGGATGCTTTCTGAGCTCTGTTTCAGCTTTGTGAAGATTCTGTGATTCTATTCTATTGCTGTTTTGAAATTTGTTTTTAATTTTTTAAATGATTTTTTTTTAAATCTCCTCAGGCAGATGTGTGGAGCATGGGCATACTCTTATATGTACTTATGTGTGGCTTTCTACCATTTGATGATGATAATGTTATGGCTTTGTACAAGAAGATTATGGTGAGTATTGCAAGGCATGGAACTTTAATGTAAATGTTTTCTATACTGCATGCTTCCATTTAGTAGAGTACAAAACAGGAAAAAATAATTTGGTGTTAGAATTGTGTGTGATAGTAGCTATCATTTGGGAGTGGCTAAGAAGGAGGTGAGGAAAGCTTCTGTTTCCTGATCTGGGTGCTGGTTATACTTGTATATTCAGGTTTCGAAAACTTATCAAGGTGTACACTTTTAGGTGCAATTTTATATCACACTTCTTCAATAAAAAGCTTAACAAGGGCCAGGGATGTAGCTCAGCAGCATAGCACCTGCCTAGCAAGCTCAAGGTTCTGAGTTTGATCCCTGGTACCCTCCTTCCAAAAAAAACTTAACAAAACAAAACCAAACAAGATGTTCTGTATTTTAGGTTGACCCTCAAATTAGGTAAGTAAACATGTAATATTTTATAAGTAGGAATTTTTTTTTGTATCCAAAAATAACACCTTACTAAGGTACTGTGTTAAATCACATTTTCCTATTGAGCTATGATAATGTAAGAATTCTTCACTCTTTTAGGAGGGTAAAAATTTGGCTTCAAGGTATAATAAGATCATAGTTAAGAGTACTGGTAAGCTGTGTGCCTGGGATTTAGCTCAGTGGTACCACACCTACCTCACAAGTGCAAGGTCCTGAGTTCTAGCCTTGGTACCGCAAAAAAAAAAAAAAAAAAAAAAAAGTACTAGAGTACTAGTAAGCTTTGTTTTTGTTTTTGTTTTTAACAATTGACTTTTTATAAAATGATAAATGTACGTATTTACACACACGTCTCTATTTGGCCACACGAGACTCAAGTGGTTAGATGACGTTTCTGATTCTGTCACACCTGGCGCTCACACACCCCTCCCTGGGCCTGCTGAGGGCTGCCGGGGCCCGATGGGGTGGTGGGCACAGGGCAAGGCACTGTATAAATAAATGCAAAGTGCAAGAACTTGGGGAAAGTTAGTGTACACCTCGAGGAAGAAATGTGGCAAGGTCCACAAGAGAAAGTGCCACGTTTCATCCAAGCCCCTCAGCCCGGGCAAAGAGCAGGGCAGAGCTGCTCTGAGGCCGAGGGGCACCGCCACATGGGGTCCCTTCTTCCTTCACATTTCACTGGCTTTGGAACAGTCCCCAGGGCTTGGCTGGGAAGGGAGGCGGTTCTTTGGGAGTAGATCCACTTAGTGCAATTGTCTCTTAGTGCAGAGCCAGCCCTGGGGTGGGTGCTGTGCTCCTGAGGTCACTGGTCTGTCCCCTGGGGCAGCTTGGTGTCAGCGAGACCCTCTTCAGGTAGCTGAGCTGAGAGAGAAAAGCAAGAGGGTAACTCCTGTCCAGGGCTCCACCTGAGTCACAAATCTCAGAACCCCAACACCCTCTTCCCAAGAGGCAAAGCCAGCTTCACCCCATGGGACAAGCCCATTCCCTGGCCTGCAGGTCTATGAGGGGAAGATGCCATCCCTGCTTGGCAGAGGGGTCATGATTTGCTATGTTGAGGGGCTGCAGGGGCGGCTTCTCTGCACCACAACCACCATGATGCCAGGTCCTGCTTGTCTAGAGGAGTGAGGGGCTCAAGGACCCAGCTACGGTGCACAAGGAATGGCCTGGATGGAGGGCAGCCTGACTGGGGTGAGCATGCTGTCCAGCCAGCTGGGGTCCATGTTCCTCAGATCTGTGAAGACACGGTGTAGGCTCAGCCCAATATCACCCGCAGGGCTGTCAGTTTCTGGCTCCTCCTTGCAGCTGAAGTCTCCATAGACAGATGCAGGCTGAGCTCCAGGTTCATTGAGCAGGTACCCCTTCCCATCCACATTTGTGGGCTGCCACTCTGACTGCTCCAAGAGCTTCATGATGTCCTCTGGGATCTTCCCTTCCTCATCCTCGTCTGTTGCAGCTTCAGATGTGGAAGGCATGGGTGACACCTGGAAGTTGTACAGGTCACTGGTGCTGTCTGGCATGATTTCCACTGGCAGGTGCCAGTCTGGGAGAGTGCTACTGATGGCACGTGGCGACAGCGCTGGAGTAAGGGCCCACTCCCCGTCCAGGTCCTGCCCCAGGTAGGCCTGAGCTGTGTAGATGCTGTGATCGTCAGGCAGGGTGCAGCTGCTGAGTCCATCGGAGAATGCGTCAGGGCTGGAATCCCCACATGACTTCCTCCTGGCCTTGCTCTTGGTGTCACGGCTGGATTTGGACTTTCTCTCTTTCCTCTGGTTCTTAGTGAGAGGTGGGAGCATCCAGTACACCCGAACAGCTGAGCTGCCCTTGTTCCTGCTCTGGCCCTTCACCTCCTCAATGTCTGGCAGGGAGTTCATGGCACAGCGAAAGTTTGCCTTCCACGTCTTGGGATCTGGCTCCTTTTCCCCTGCTTTGTATCGGCCTGTATGAATGGCCCAGCTGCGGAAGAGACAGGCATCCTTATTGATGTCCCAGCCATGCTTGGCTGCATGCTTCCACGGGATCTGGAAGATCATCTCCTCTTTATTAATCCAGATCAGCCCTGGGATTTGGTTGGAATTAATCTGCATCTCTAGCCAGGGTCTCATGTGCATCCGAGTGATGGGCATGTTGGCTCTGCGACAGGGGCGACCCGCCGGCTGTGCCCAAGAGTCCTGGAGAGGCGGGGGCTGCCGTGCGAGGCGGGCAGAGGGCAGAGGATGCCCGGATCCTGAGGCCGCGCGCGGGGCACAGCCGGCCTCGGCTGGACCCGACTCCCGCTGGCCTCGACTCCCGCTGACCTCAGCTCGGCTCGGTCTGGCCCGGCTGGGGCGCACGTCCTGCCTCGACGAAGGAGTGGCGCACTCTGCCCCGGCCGCGGTGCGGAGCAGCCAGCTTTGTTAAAATCATATATATATTAGAGACAAGTGGTTGCATGGGGGTGGGTAGTGATTGCCAGTGGGTTTGAGATTTCTTTGGGGATGATGAAAACATTCTGGAATTAGGTACTGATGATGATTGCACAACGTGTGTGTGTGTGTGTGTGTGTGTGTGTGTGTGTGTGTGTGTGCGCACGTGCGCGCTAGCTGTTGTGGTTTATATCTGGATGTCCCCCAAGAGCCTCATGTTTTGGAAGAGGATTGGACCATGAGGACACTGTAGTTCACTTTATTTTAGGAGTTGGAGCTTGGTTGGGGGACGCAGGTAGCTGGGGGCATGACCTGGAGGGGTAATATCTTTCTGGCTCCTCTAGTCTCTTTTTGCTTCTGAGCAGCCATGATGTGAACAGCTTTCTTCTGCCTAGGCCCTTCCACTATGCTGCTGACCATGCAAGGATTGAAATTTCTGAAACATGAGCAAAATAAACCTGTCCTTTAGGTTGTGGGTGTTAGATATTTTGTCTCAGCAACAAGAACGTAACTAAGACAGATATTAGTAATGAGCCTGAGATCATCATTGTGATGCTACCTGACCGTGTGGTTCATAAGTCTTTGGAACTGGTTCACACGAGGAGTTTGGAAAAATTTGGAGATGCTGGCTGGAAAAGCAGCTCTAGGTGCTATAAGCTGAGTTTAGTGGGAGATCTGGTCAGAGTTTAGAAGACCAGAATGCTGATAAAAAGGCAGACACTAAAGACAAGGCTTAGGAGGTTTCATTTGGAAATAGGGACTCCATTGGTAGCTGGACTCCAGACCATGAGTGTTATGCTGTGACAGAAAGTTTGACTACATTTTACTCATTTCCTGTGATTTTGTAGGAGACTGAGATTAAGAGTGGAACACTTAATTAATCTGGAAGAGGAAATTTCAAGACAGCCCAGTGTTCAGGCTGTAGCATGGATGCTGCTTGCTATTTTTAGGTGGCAAAAAAGCCATTTGAAAAGTTTTCTGTTTCCCTAGAAAAGAAGAATCGGCAAAGTTTTAGTAGAGGAGAGTTTGGTTGCTGAAAAGACTAGCATTAAAAATAAGCCAAATACTTTGCATCAGGGCAGTAGAAAAGATGCCTTGTTGGCACGTCAGGAACCAGGAAGACCCCACTCATTGCAAGCTAAAGTTGTAAGGGTGAAAGATTTTGCTTTGAAAAGAGAGCCCAAGGACACTCTACTTGAAAAGAGCTAGCTAGGAATTTGTTTCACAGTCCTCAGCTGTCTAGGCTCCCAGAGGCTGCTGTGGCCATGAGTCAAGGGGGCCTGGTTACTGCTCAAGATGGCAGCAGACCTTGACATTATCCATGTGGTGCTCTTTTTACAGGCATATAGAATGCAACAGTGGTGGGGTCAGGGAGACTTCCATCCAGTTTCAGAAGGCCTGGGAGGCCAGGTAGTATGCATTTGAGAGGACAGTATGTGAAGCTTGAGCATGAAGCTTAATGTGCACTGGAAACCCAAGAAAGTGGAAAAGCTAGCAGTGTGGAATGACTGCTGAGGAAGGTTGTAGGCAGTTAGTGGAGCCTACTCAAAAGAGAGGCTATGGTAGCTGCAACTGATAGAGGCAGGGCTGCCCACGCCCTTTAGAGCTTGCATCTTGCCACCTTTTGCCCGGGCTACTAGACCTGGAACTATAGGATTTAATGTTTGCCCTGCTGAGTTTTGTCTTGCTTTGTTCTCTTTTCTTGTTCGTTCGTTCGTTCTTTCTTTCTTTCTTTCTTTCTTCCTTTCTTTTTTTGGTACTGGGGGTCAAACTCAGGTCCTAGTGCTTGCGGGGCAGGTGGTGGAACCACTGAGCTAAATCCCTGGCCCTATATTCCCATCCTTCTCTGTGCCTCTATTACTCTTTGGAATGCTAATGTTTACCCTGTGCTATTTGTTGGCACCCGAGTTCTACAAGAACTTCAGAGAAGATCTAAAACCAATACTCCTCAAACTCTTTAATTAAATGAAGAGGGAAAGAGTACTTCCAAAATTATTCTTGGAAGCGAGCACTATCCTAGTCCCCAAACCAGACAATGATCCAAGAAAAAGAGAGAATGACAGGCTAATATCTCTAATGGCATAGATGCAAAAATCTTTAACAAGATACTGGCAAATAGAATGTGACAAATCATTAAAAAGATCACAC